CTCCTTCTCCTCCGCCTCCTCCTCCTCCTCCTCCTGGTAATTCAACTTGGTTCAGTCTTGCAGCGCTTCGCCGCTGCCAAAAACCTGTCTATTACCATCCTGTTTGATGGTTCGGTCGTTGTCTCTGTATTATTGCGAACGTGGGCTGATCATATCTACAAACGTATCGGATGAATCACTCTTGCATTTGCTCGACTACCATGGGTTCCCTGCTGGGTACCTTCCTCTTTAAGACCAGGTTGCAGAGGATCCCCCCTCGAAGAGACATGGCCTCTCAGAGCATTCTGTTGCGATGGTGCAACAAACTTTCAGACCAGGGCGGCTCCAAGTGCCAGGCGCAGACCGTCTAGCCATTACCCTTCAAGGCACAAGGCCTGGCACTCCATTCGGCGATGCAGCTTTCCTCTTCGCGTTTTGCTGAAATCCCCCCCGAGGTGGCTGTCGAAATGGCCTTATGTCGGGGAACCCCTCAGGCCTCCTGCTGGTTCGACTGGGTCCCGACTGAAGGACGCACCTCTTCGCCTGGCATGGTCTCTGCCGATGCTTCGGGCCTTTTTTGTGTTTTGTTGCTGCTTTTGCTGTTTCTGTTTCTGTTCGGGCCCCCGGAGCTTCGACCACTCCTCCAGGGGGGTCGGCGCGAGGGCAGGCGCTCATGCTCTCCACAAGGAGCCGCATTCACGTGCCGAGCCCCTTCCGCTGCACCTGACAGCTCGATCCTGCGGGGGCAGTGCGATTTCAGCTATGCGGTCTTCCCGGACCGCTGCTTGATGCGACTGTTTGAAACCGTGCGTCCTATGGGGAAGACTCCAACTGCCTGAAACGGGCGCCAAAAACAGCCAGGATCTACTCCATGAGGGCCCGCGCCGATCGGCAAGACAATGAATAAGACAACGAGTACCCGATAGTTTCAAGTGGCGGGTGTTTCGGCGATCTCGCCCCTCAGGGGAAAACGCCGGGCCCTGGGGACCCTCGAAAGCGGATCCAGGACGAAAAAACACCCCCGGGGAAGCGGTCGAGACGTCGGGGGCCGCGGACCAAAGGAGCACATCGGCGGAGGTCAGGATTCGCTCTATCTGGTATCGATATTGGACGACAAGGGAGCGTCAGGAGCCAAATGCTCCATGCCAGAATGTTGAGGCGACTGGGGCTCTGAAGACCTTGCGCAGGGCAGTTCGTGAAGCGCCCGGAAAAGACATGGCGCCGAAGCTCATCTCCTTAGACTCCCGCCGCTCGCTCGATGCTGCGATGTGCGCGTCTGCCACTCGGTATGCCTGGCCCGATTTCAATATCAGTGTGATCGCCGTCATCGATCCACGCTGAAGGTGCCACGCTTCGAGAAGGGGGGGGGGGGGGCACACCGTCAGGGCCGTTCTCGCAGCAGCTGGGCGACCGATTGCCGCCTCTCTCCTGCGAGTGTCGCGACTCTGGCTGGTTGGCCAGGTGTTGCATGATGCTCCAGATCCGCTCAAGGCGCTCTTGCAAAAAGACGTTCGACATCATTTAAGGCGCTGTCGGCTTCACGGAATGCTGGGGAGTCATCGCAAATTTGTTGGGCGTCCTTGGCCCAGCCTTGAGCCAGAGCCTTGGGTGGTCGAAGTGCTCAGGTCCGCGTCTGCCTGGAAAACGTCAGTCAGGGAGGCTCTGAAAGCATAGATAGCGCGTCTGCAGCGGAATGTTAAGGCGACAGCTTGGGCGATCCGCGTGCTAAATACTATGCCGGACGAAGGCATCCCTGCTAGGAAGGATCTCTGTGAACGCCCACCCCCGCAGGACACAGTCGGCTTGTCAATCCTGCTCGACCACTCTCAACAGCCTGCGTTCGCTGGATGCGCACATTCGCACGAGTCACTTCTCTTACGCCAATCTTGCACGGGTCCCCGTGTCTGCTCCATGGTGCAAGCGATGCTGAAAGTGTTGCTCGCCGAATGGCCTCTTTCTTTCTGCGATCTGTCATGTCTTTGGGGCCCACTTGTTTGGTGCAGCGCCTTCGGCCTCTGCCTCCTATGCCACCCTCCGAACGTGAAGAACTGCTGGCGCTAGAGAGGCGTGAAACCAGCTGTGACTCAAGCAGGGCAGGCCGTCTTCGCCGTCTTCCTTTCCTTCGTATACCCTTCCTGGGCCTCTCCCACTGGACGCACATGTATCATGTGCAAAGTACGCAGTGGCGATTACATGAGAACCGCAATCTATCACGGTCGAACCAGTCACGAGTTGAGGCCGTGAGGTGTTCACGTAAGTTGCGGGATCAGTTGACGCATTGGAGCCCAACCCTCTGCCATCGGATACTGAACGGCCGTACGGCGCAGGGAAGTTGTTTGGTACGCTTGCTGCTGTCGCGGCTAGGAGCATTCAATTCTCAGGAAGCAAGTGTTTATCACGAGTGGGTTTTGTTGACAGCGGCGTGAGCACGACAATCTTCCTTCATATGCGCACGCTGTCTTTCGATCTGGCCGCTCAACATCATTCTAGACTCTGAGACAAACAATCACACTCGTTTTGGTAAGGTAGCTCGTTGGTCCAATTACATCCAGGCTGGACGTGCTGTCGCTTTTGGAGGAGTGCCTCCTGCAAGGTCTTCTGTGTCGCGTGTTGGCTTCCCCCCCTGGAGATCCTGGCAAGCTCCATGAGGCATGACAGCGCTGATTGAACGCCGGAGGAAACAAGTAGCTGTGTCTAGTGATTTGCTTCGGGCTCGTGTAGGACTTCTGGCCGCGATGGCCGTCTCTCTCGGGGTCGCGTGGCGTGAGAAGCCCGCCCCACTTCACTGGGCGCTTCGACGCGCCCCCTGTTGGCATGGGCACCCCATCCAGGCCCTGATGGCGGCGCCGGGGAACCGCACGCTGCTTTTGACCGGTGCGAGCCTGGCCAGTCCGGGCGGGCCCCTGCGGCCCGGTGAGGGGCCAGACAGCCAGCGCCGCGGGGCGGACTCGAGGCCTGCTCTGTGGGAAAAAACACACATTCACACACACACACACGCACGAGAGAAAAAAACATACAGCCTTTGGGAAAAGAATACATACGCACAAGGTCTGTGGGAAAAAACACACACACGGAGTGTGTGCTTTCTCCCACCGACTTTTTCCCAGTGGTGTTTTTTCCCACAGGGGGGCGGCTGCGGTCGGAAGTCTGCGGAGCGTGTCGGGGCGACGGCCCCGCGCGCGGGTGGCGCGTCGCTCCGCTTCGCGGGGCGCGGGAGGCCGGGCGAGGCCCCGGGCGTGCGCGCCCGGGCGGGCGGGAAACGGACACCGTGTCGCGCCGCAGCGTGGGGGGCCCGTACATGGACAATAGATTCGAACCCTTACACATTCGAGGGGGATTCTGAATCACTCCCGCGCCCCCGACATCAATGTGGATGCTTTGGGGTTCGAATATTTCTGTCCACTCACGCCCCCCCCCGTCGCCCCGTCGCCACGCCATCAATATATTAGTTTCGGGGGGTCTGGGGGGCATCTTGGGCCACAGGGTTCGAATCTAATGTCCATGTACTGGCCCAAGCTGGCGGAGCGACGCGCCATCCCAGAGTTCCCGACCGCAGGCTGGGGCCCGCAGCTCAAACGCTGGCGCACCTCAACTGCAGTCAGGTGCAGATGTTGCCAGCGAGATGTCTCACGGACTGCAGGTGGGTCCGTGGCTGCGGCGCGGGCCACTCGAGCTTCCGATAGTGCTCGGTAAGACTCGCAAGATCGGTCGTACACTACTCGTGTGAGATGAAAGGGTGGACATGTTACTCGTCGCATTTCTGAACACAGAAAATAACATTTTGTTGCAAAGATATGCAAACATCTAAAAACACTATCCCAAACCTTAATGGTTCTCCCGGGTGATGTGCGAGTGCTCTCGCGAATTATGCATTTCCACACTGTGCGTGAACTTCAAAACCAACTGACCAGGTCTTGCAAACGCGGCGGGTGGACAACAAGTGTCCACGCCCATCGCGCCAAGACAGCGCCACAGCTAAGTGCATCAAAAATCGATAGCCCCCTCCCCCCCAGCCCAAAGTTGACAACGGTGCACGCGAGGAAACGCGCCAAGGACAACATGTAGACACTTCAACTTTGGGCTTGGGGGGGAGGTGGTTGGGACATGCGTTATGCAAGATGCGTTCCACCATCACGTGATATGGTCTTCGCGCCAGTGGCGTGGGCACACTCGCCAACCGAAATCAATGAGCCTGAGGGTTCGCATTCAGTTGCCATGGCCATGTCACAGTCTGCGCAAGAAGCGTGCTCCTTAGCATGAAGGAAACGGGTCCTGAGGGAAACGGGTCTTGGATCCCGGGGCTCATCCATGGGACCATTTTTTCTCGTCCTTAGCCCCAGAGCCCATGGAGGGCTCCCGTGCCCCGAGAGCGGGGCAAAACCTCAAGAGCAGGCTTCCTCAGGAGTCGTCTGCTTCACGACGGCTTCCCCTCCCGACCTCACCCCCCCGTCCCAAGACAGGACGAGAACGACGCCATGATGCGATTGACGCACGATAGGCCCCAGGAGTTCTGGAGTATCTAGCGGCCCTCCCTCCTGGGGCCCGCGCGGAACAACAGGAATTCGGAGTATATGGGACACATCGGAAGGCACCATGATCCCGACTTCCAGTTCCCTCCCGAGCCCCCCTTTCCCTCCTGCCACTCCCCCTTCCCCTCCTGACCTGACTCGTCCCCTCCTCCCCCCTCTGACCTCTTCCCCTCCTTTCCCCCCTTGAACTCCTACGCCGTGCTTGTTCGCAACGTCAACCTCCAGAGGTATGGGCCCCTTCCCCTGGGCCAATCTTTCAGCGCGGGTCGTTTCTTGACGGCTCGGAAGTCCGGTGAGGGCCCCCAGACGCCGAAAACGGCCCCAACCCCTCCCGTCATGATTCTGTAATGACGAGACGGGGTAGGGGCCTCTCCCCTCGTTCCTGCCGACTTTCCCTCCTGACCACCCCCCCCGCTCTCCTTCCCGAGGTCCTGCAGGAAGAATGGCGGCCAGATTAAACCGCGCCCAGGCCTTGGCCCGAAGGTGCGAGCGCTATATAACGTGGCCGCGAGGAAGGGCGGACGCACCTGGCGGGCACCCGTAGCAGCCCACGGGGCGTCTGCCAGGGGGCGAAGCGCCCCCGCTGTCGAGGCTGAGACTTCTCCACCGCCTGGGGAATCGATGTGACGAGGGGGACCGGGGGGGGGGCCCGGGGGGGGGGAGGGGACGGGCTGAAGGGGGGTACTCCGGATTCCATAAGAAAGTGGGGGGGGTCACATTTTGGGGGGGTCTGATTTGAGCTGTCTTGGAGGGCTCGGGGGGGTCTGGGCAAAGGGCCGCACTTTCATGGACGGTCTGGGGGGGTCTAAAACTTCTCGTCTGGGAGGGTTGGGACCCCCTCCCTTTTATTACGAAATCTGGAGTAGCATGGAGCTGGAATCGGTGATACGTCGCCGCTGGATCGGCCACGTGCCCCCGAGAGCGACACCGCACGCTCCTGGGCGGAGTGGGCCATGGGGACCCCTGTCGACGACGACTGGGCGATCGGGGGTCGCTGCGTCCCCCCCCCTGAGCCCGGCCCCCCGAGCGTTGCCCCATGCTGTCCTGGGATCCCAGAGAGGGGCGGCAGAGAGCGGCGGATGCACCTGGGCCCCAAGCGGCGCGCAGGCGTCCGTGCCCGCCGACCGCCTCCCGGGGCCCATGGGAGGGCCCGCTTCCCAGGCACCCGGCGACGTGGGCTTCCAGAGCGCGCCGCCTGCGAGGTCCCGGCCCCGTCTCCAGGGACAGGCTCGCCCCAGACCCCATGTCTGCTGACCCCGGGGCCCAAGCGCGGGCCCCAGAGGCCGGGATCGAAGAAGCTCTGCCGCACTCGGCAGTCTCACATCGCCGGCGATCTGGGCTCACCGGCGGTGGGTGAAACGCTGAACCCGAAACGATGCGTCAACTCTTCGGGGACTGATTTCTACTGCCGCCGTCCTTCCGCTGGCTTCCGCTGGCGGAGCCGCCGCCGTTCTGTTGCTGTCGCCTTCCGCGGGCCTTCCGCCAGGCAAGAGATGCTAGCTCGATCCCCTGAAACCGCTGTCCAGAACGCCCCATGTTTGGCATGGGGCACACGGGTCCTGAGGGATGGAGACGGGTGCGGTTTCGCCACGGCTGACCCAGCATGCGCTTGTCCAAAACTATGCCCTCGACGTGGGCTCTGCTGGCCGGCTTCATGAGATGGGGCGCGCGCCAGGCGCAGGATGCGTGGGACTGCTGCTTCATCATCGAAGGAATGCCCAGCTTGTCCGCGAGAAAATTTTCGAGAGACAGCCACGCGTGGCTTGGCCGCCCTCTTGCACCGCTGCCTGGTCCCGCTCGGGAGGCAGTCGAGGCTCCGAGGGAACTATACTCCTTGGTTCGAATCACCGACGCGCGGGTCCGGGCGATGCTGAAGGCCCGCTGCGCAGCTGCGCAGCATTGCCATGTCGTCAGGACGGCCGCGCTTGGAGTGGCTGTTGGCTGGCCGTGCCCAGCGTCCCCGCCGAGCGGGCTTGATCGCCTCTTGTTTTCCCAACCATCCTGTGGTGCTGGGTCCTCGTTTTGAACAGACGGTCCCCGCGTTCTCCTCTCCTCCTCTGCCCCCTCCTCCTCTCCACCGTCAGCATGCGTCCCGCACACCCAGCACAGCGTTTCGTGGCCCTCCTCCCCTCCCGACCCAGTACAGCGTTTCGTGGCCCTCCTCCCCCTCCTCCCGGCGTTTCACCCACCCAGTACAACGTTTCGTGGCCCCATAGGGAGCCCCACCGAAGGTCCCAGCGCTACCGTCCGCATGCGTCCCGCACACCCAGTACAGCGTTTCGTGGCCCCATAGGGATCTCCACCGAAGGTCCCAGTCCTACCGGCCGCATGCGCCCTGCACACCCAGTACAGCGTTTCGTGGCCCTCCTTCCCCTCCTCCCTGCGTTTCACCCACCCAGTACACCGTTTCGTGGCCCCATAGGGAGCCCCACCGAAGGTCCCAGTGCTACCGTCCGCATGCGTCCCGCACACCCAGTACAGCGCTTCGTGGCCCCATAGGGGTCTCCACCGAAGGTCCCAATGCTACCGTCCGCATGCGTCCTGCACACCCAGTACAGCGTTTCGTGGCCCTCCTCCCCCTCCTCCCTGCGTTTCACCCACCCAGTACAGCGTTTCGTGGCCCCATAGGGAGCCCCACCGAAGGTCCCAGTGCTACCATCCGCATGCGTCCTGCACACCCAGTACAGCGTTTTGTGGCCCCATAGGGAGCTCCACCGAAGGTCCCAGTGATACCGTCCGCAAGCGTCCCGCACACCCAGTACAGCGTTTCGTGGCCCTCCTCCCCCTCCTCCCGGCGTTTCACCCACCCAGTACAACGCTTCGGGGCGCCATAGGGAGGCCCACCGAAGGTCCCAGTGCTACCGCCCGCATGCGTCCCGCACACCCAGTACAGCGTTTCGTGGCCCCATAGGGAGCTCCACCGAAGGTCCCAGTCCTACCGGCCGCATGCGTCCCGCAAACCCAGTACAGCGTTTCGTGGCCCTCCTCCCCCTCCTCCCGGCGTTTCACCCACCCCGTGGAGCGCCTCGTGGCCCCATAGGGAGCCCCGCCGAAGGTCCCAATGCTACCGTCCGCATGCGTCCCGCACACCCAGTATAGCGCTTCGTGGCCCCATAAGGAGCTCCACCGAAGGTCCCAGTGCTACCGTCCGCATGCGTCCTGCACACCCAGTACAACGTTTCGTGGCCGTCCTTCCCCTCCTCCCTGCGTTTTACCCACCCAGTACAGCGTTTCGTGGCCCCATAGGGAGCCCCGTCGAAGGTCCCAGTGCTACCGTCCGCATGCGTCCCACACGCCCAGTACAGCGTTTCGTGGCCCCATAGGGAGCTCCACCGAAGGTCCCAGCGCTACCGTCCGCATGCGTCCTGCACACCCAGTACAACGTTTCGTGGCCGTCCTCCCCCTCCTCCCTGCGTTTCACCCATCCAGTACAACGCTTCATGGCCCCATAGGGAGCTCCGCCGAAGGTCCCAGTGCTACCGTCCGCATGCGTCCCGCACGCCCAGTACAGCGCTTCGTGGCCCCATAGGGATCTCCACCGAAGGTCCCAGCGCTACCGTCCGCATGCGTCCCGCACACCCAGTACAGCGTTTCGTGGCCCCATAGGGAGCTCCACCGAAGGTCCCAGTGATACCGTCCGCATGCGTCCCGAAAGCCCAATTTGGCATTTTCACCTACCTAGTGCAGCGCTTCGTGGCCCCATAAGGGGGCTTCACCCAAGGCCCCAGTGCCACCGTCCGCATGCGTCCGGGAAGTGTAATTTTGCATTTTCGCCCGCGCAATGCAGCGTTTCGTGGCCCCATAGGGGAGCTCCACCGAAGGTCCCAGTGCCCCCGTCCGCACGCGTCCCGGAAGCCCAATTTGGCATTTTCACCCACCCAGTAGAGCGCCTCGTGGCCCCATAGGGAGCTCCACCGAAGCCCTCAGTGGGACCGTCCGCATGCGTCCCGGAAACTCAATTCGGCACACCACCCACACAGTACAGCGTTCCCCCCCGCCCAGTGCAGGGCTTCGTGGCCCCATAGGGAGCTTCACCGAAGCAGATATTCACAATTACGGTACCCACAACTGCATATGGTTGGGACCTTCGCCAGGATAATTGGTCCTCGTGCTGGGCCGGCCTCGGAGGCCTGGCCGCGGCTCGCGGCGGCCCCGGCCCCGTCAGGGGCTGGCTGGTGGGGCTGTCCGACAACCCCGCTCCGAGGCAGGTCCGCGCCGCCAGCCGAAGGCGGGAGCGCCTTCTGCCGCCGCCTGGCTCAACTCTGGGGCTGGGGCGCCGCCCTTGCCCTGTCCTCCTGGGGCATGTCCGACGAGGCCTGCGATCGGTGGTTCAAAGATGGGGTCCTGAGGGGTGGGGTCCCAGAACGGACAGGACGGGATCCAGGGGTGGATTTGCACTGTCTGGCGCACCTCGTCCTCAGGACCCCATCCCTCAGGACCTCACCTTCGCACCGCCGATGAGAGAGGCCGGAGGCCCGCTCGGCCCATCCGCGCCCCCCCGGGGCTGCGCGCGGCGACGCAGCGGCGGGGGGGGGGCTGGCCGCGACTGGGCCTCGCTGCGGCCGAGTGCCTCCCACAGCGGCAGCGGTGCGCTCCGGGCGGGAGAGGGGCGGCCTCCGGCTGGCCACCGGCTCGCTGTCAGGCCTCGCGCCGCCCGTCACCCGCCTCGCCGCGCTGCCCGACCCCCGCGGCGGGCTCTCCCCTCGGGCTGCCCCGCCGACCCCCGCAGGCCTTCGGGGGCGCGAGGCCGCGGCGGCGCGCGAGTCGGCCCCTGGGGCGGGAGCTCGCCCTTCGGGTTTCGGCCCGCGCTGCGCTGGGCTCGCCCGCGCTCCCCTGGGCCGCGCTGGCCGCCCCCTCCGGCCTCGCTGCCGGACGCGGCGCCCGAAGTCGGAAAATATATTGGCGAAGGGCCCAGACATATGCACTTGTGGGCGGTAGCACTGGGGCCGTCGGTGGAGCTCTCTATGTGGCCACGAAGCGCTGTAATGGGTGGGTGAAAAATGCTAAATTGGATGTTTCGGCACGCGTGCGGACGGTGGCGCTGGGGCCTTCGGTGGAGCTCCCGATGGGGCCACGAAGCGCTGCATTGGGTGGGTGAAAATGCCACATTGGATGTTTCGGAACGCGTGCGGACAGTGGCACTGGGGTTTTCGGTGGAGCTCCCTCTGGGGCCACGAAACGTTGTTCTGGGTGGGTGAAAATACCAAATTGGATGTTTCGGAACGCATGCGGACGGTGGCACTGGAGCCTTTGGTGGAGCTCCCTATTCGCTGTACTGGGTGGGTGAAAATGCCAAATTGGATGTTCCAGGACGCGTGCAGACGGTGGCGCTGGGGCCTTCGGTGGAGCTCCCCAAGAGCGCTTTTCTGGGTGGGTGGGAATGCCAAATTGGATGCTTCGGGGCACATGCGGACGGTGGCACTGGGGCCTTCGGTGGAGCTCCCTGTGGGGCCACGAAGCGCTGTAGTCGGTGGGTGAAAATGCCAAATTGGATGTTTCGGAACGCGTGCAGACGGTGGCGCTGGGGCCGTCGGTGGAGCTCCTTATGGGGCCACGAAGCGCCGCACTGGGTGTATGAAAATG